TATCGAAAATCTCCCCGTTCGCATTAGACATAGAAACTCAAATATACAACGATTACATAAACACCCGCAAACATAAAATTCTATTACTATATCAACAGATTAAAGAACTAAATTCAAAAATCAAAGAAAAAACTATAACAAAACGAAACCGGGATAGAGAAGAACTACCTAATATACCGGAAGAAGTATATGTACGTAATAAAAAAAATAAAAGTAAAACTAAAAGCAAACACTAAAATCGATCAACAAAACTCTAAAATTAGGTGAAATAGACGCACAATCAGCCTATAACACACAGAATAAAATCCACTCAAAAAAATCCGATAGTAAAACTACTCAAAAAAGTGAGGTTGTTCCAGGTTCATCCTCAGCTGTTACAAAAGGGCTGAACCTCAAGAACATCTCAACAAACTCTGCTATACTACCCATAAGGTTAGGAAAAGAGAAAATCCAACAAACATACCACACTCTCATTCATTACTACAATGTTACAGAATTAGACACCAAATTCGATGTAAACGTCAATTATTTGTAAATCTTTGAGCTGGCAAAAAACGGCACTGATGTAAAAAAAAATTAGATATCAATTTAAAATCATCAACTATGAAGGCAGTGTAATAAGTGAAAAACTAAATACTTTAATCCTTAGAAGAAATTTTAGAAAAAAAGGAATAATGAACGATATAGGATCCATTGTAAAATTCTAAATGGTAACTTGGACGCCTATGATGGAAAATTATAAAAAAAAATGTTAGCAGATATAAAGAACTATGTAAACAACTTTAAAGTTGCTTTAAAAAACTATAAAACAATTCACACAGTTTTTTCCAAATTAAAGATCCCACACCAGTAACAAATAAATCTGACGTAATTTACAAAATCAATTGTTCAAATTGTCCGGCTACTTACATCGGTATTACATCCCAATATCTGGATAAGAGAGTAAAGCATAGTTGCTTTAAACCCAAACAATATCCTACAGCCCTGACTACCCACCATTTTGAACACCAACACAATTTCGACTTCAACAACCACAAATATTACACATAGAACAACACAAAGCATCAATTACAGAACAGACATATAAACTCAGTCGCAGCTACGCTGATATCATTAATCAAATTCAGTATCGATAACATACACATATCATCATCACATCACACAAAACATATAATACAACATATAAAGCAATATATTACAATTAATTAAGGTTTTTAGTTGAGATAAAAAAGTCAATGGCACGAGCAGGATTGAAAAATGGCAAAAAGGTGTCACGATGCAAAATCGAGGTCACGATAGCTCAAGTGGTAGAGCAGCGGCGTATCTAGCCGAAGATCATGGGTCCGAATCCCGCTCGTGCCATTGACTTTTTTATCTCAACTAAAAACCTTAATTAATTGTAATATATTAATTGGTCAAGCGGACCACGAAATTAGTGAATATAAAACAATCATAACATTCCACACATCAAATATTTCTACATAGTCTAATTGTCCAACAATTTAGCTTTCCTTTTCCTATTTATCCCCCTCTATATAATCCTGAAAGGATAATGAGGCCGAACCATTACCCACGTTTTTTCCCATTGTCGGCTCCTTTCACCTCAAAGAAGCCGACTCCTTATACAAAAATTTCTTTCTATACCGACTTCCTTCCCCACCTCTTCAAAATCGACATAAAACATCAATATCTCACTGGCACTCTCAAAACGACACACAACAATGACGACACATCTGCACAGAAACCCTGCGTGAGAACAAATACTTTGATTGAATCTAAAATTTCTAGTATTGTATAAATTCATTTTTTTTTCATCCCACTATAAAGAAAATATTATTCAGATATCGTGAGATGCGGTCGGGTGTGATGTAGGTTTCAGAAAAACATTTTCTTTTTCGTGCCAACGTTTCGATCTTTTATTGAGATCATCTTCAGGGCTCAAAGTGTTTGTCTTCTGTGTAATTGTGCCATCCTAGCGTGTCGTGTTGAGAGTAAAACCGTCACACCAGACCGCATGTCACTCACGATCTCCAAATTAATTATTAACTAACGGTCACTAAACACCACACATTATATTATACCAATAAAACTCTCGATTTTCTTTAAAAACACGTGTTCCCTGTTTTTTTTTCCATTTTGGATAAAAGAACAGGATTTAATATAAAAGTAAATCGTCGCAGGTATCTAAATATTCTATCTATTGTTCAAATTGTTAGGGTGACCTTTTTTTGTCCAGGAACTAGTTGAAAGGTTTCATTTCTCTTTGTTCGCCCTCTTAAGAGTACCTATTTAGAGATTATGGATTAGGTAAATGGTTTTAAAACCTTAAGTCGGTCACTAGTAAATATAATCCGTTTAAAAGGTCAGTAGAGAGGGGCTTTAAGGAAGAAAAGGCGTATTATTCCAAAATTCGATTTAAATCAAACGAAATTGAGTAACTCTGAAATCCGTTCCGTTGAAAGACAGGAGAAAGAAGGGAAAAAGGAGAAAACCGTAAAGGATGTTATTCGAAATTAGATCATAAGAGAGCCGAGGCCGTTTGAACCGGTTGGTGGCAGGATGGTATCAACAAGGTGGGTTTGTATGCGAGCGGTTGGCGGCCCATAACTCTACGGGGATGGCTCTCGAGGGAAGCATTACCCCTTATTGCCAAGACCTCCTCTACCACGCACAAACATTATCACTTTTTAACTAACCAATCAGCTCTGCACATATCCAAAGCAATCTCAATTCTGTCCTCAGATAATAAACTGACGGCGTATTTGTTTTCAAGTGAAATTCCTTTTTCGATAATTATCATTTCACTCCATTACGATTCGAATCGACTCGGATAATAACCAAATGATATCACAACTATTGAAAACTCGACAAAACTAAGTACATTTATAAATTATAAGCCTCTTTCATCTGTGTATCTAAGAAAAGTTAAGTTTTAAAAGGAGATTTTAAGGCTTAGCCATTGATGTTAATAGTATTTGAACAAGTGTTTTTGTTAAAGTAGCTTCATTGTGAAGATTAAAATGGAGAATCTTTGGGTTAAGTGATATCAATTGCATCATAGTTGAATAGCCACTTTCCTGGTCTCCTTCTTAAGCCTCCATTTTGGAAGATCATGATCTGAAATCTGTATATTTTTCTGTAGAAAATTAAGATGGCACGTAATTTATAAGAGGTTGCAATTACGATTTATTTGGTGGATGTCTTAAATAAAACTAAAATGAATTTTGTAATCGTTGGAAATGAGGGAAGGGACTCGAGACAATCTGGTTGCCCCTTTCTCTTTTCGTGAGCTCTTTACGGACGGCCCTAAGCTCTAGGAGTTTTAAATGGGTCCCAGACTCCGAGAGAAGTGTTGGGAGTTAATAATGAAGAGAGAGAGAGAGAGAGAGAGAGAGAGAGAGAGCGATTGTGAGGTTTCTTCCTGTGGTTGCGGGGTGATATACGTTCAGTTCCCTATCATCTTGGGTTATCAAATTAACGGCACAAACTGTTTAAAAAAACTCAGCGGACCTAATAACAAGTTAAAAGCCGTACAAATTAAAATCACGACTAAATTAATTCATTTGATAATAAATTGACGGTTGGTACCGGGCTCGATTCCGAGATCAAAAATGAATTCGTAAAGATACGTCCTACCGTGATAATCGATAGTTATTTATTGCCTCAAGTTCATCGAAGGATGCATAAAAACGTTTTAAGACTTTCAGTTGTTTGAATCTCCTGGAAAATCATGTTGTCATGCTATGATTGTTATCAACCAATTTTGTTAATAAATGTTTATAATAATTAAATTGACGTGTTAATAGATAAGGAATTTTATCAATAAATGTACATTTTATGAGATAAAAGATTCAATTTAGAACAAATCCACAATTGTGTTTTCCAAATTTCAAAATCTTGTCAAATTATCACTACTCAATCTAGTGACCGTTAATTAATGATTATTTAAAAATCATAAAATGCGGTCTGGTTGGATGTCCGTTTAGAAAAACATTTTCATTAAGTATAATTTAAACAATGTTTATAAATCCCAGGTCCTGAAGATATCTCAATAAAGATCGAAACGTTGACACGATAAAGAAAATGCTTTTCTAAACCTACGTCACATCAGACCGCAAGTCACGATCTCCAAAAAATCATTATTTAACGGTCACTAAATACCACAAATAAATTTATTATAATAATGAGAGCACAGTATGCCAAAAATTATGACAAAAACAATTGTTTTTTAATTTTTATGTGAGTTCCCAATCCGGAGGTTCAACTCCCGTGGTTCCGGTGTTTTACACTGAATTAAACCATTCGAAAGTACTTTAGAGTCGATTTCATGGTCGCTGAGATTCGAACCCAGGAACTTCCAGTGACAAATCGCCAAATTTTGATCTTTAAAATAAAAGAGTTTTCCGAGGGTTGTAATTTATTATTTTGTGTACTTAAGATATGTCAAGTTTTTCTTATGTATAATGTTTTATTAAAACTGGTCTTCAAAGACCAACGATTATATAATAAATAATTATGTACATTCTCATATAAACCCACTGTACAGTAGTGGACATACAGCATACTCCCTTGGGACACCTACGCATTAATTCTTACTTCTGAATATTGATCATGTTTGAATATAAAAATGTATGTCAGTTAAGTAGGAAGTGTTATATACATACTATCTAATATCTCATAGTTTATTGATAAGTCCTAACCTTCTCAGAAGCCCATGAAACGTCAATGAAGAAAGCAGAACAAATTATTTTTTCTTCGTATGATTTTTCTGTGAATTCGGTCTATTGTTGAATCTTTTGACCAGTATTTAAATTTGTGGTCTGGGATGATTTTATTCTTTTTTGGAAGGTCTTTCCGAAAAGCTTAGCGGTTGTCGATAGTAGTCATTACTTTTAGTACCCTGCCGATAAAACTTCGGCTATTTTTTATTTTATTTATAATTACTAAAACTTAAACTTTCGTTTGCTTAATATTTTGTAATAAAAGAATGTTGGATTAATGAGATAGTTTATTTTGTCTTCTTCCCAGTTACATTTCGTCATAATCAACTTTAATATCCATTGATTAAAGTACACTTTTCTTGATTTTTGTAAATCCATTTTCTTGTCCGTACTATAACCCGGTAAAAACATTCTACAAATACATTAATTTATTATCTTTATGGTTTGCATGTCAAAAAATTATTTGCATTGCCCTTGGATTTTATATAAAAATGACTGAAAAAACAAGTATTTTAACTTTGAAGGTCGACAGCACCGAAGTAGGTCGCCAAGTGCACAGCTGGAATTATTAATATTATATTTAAATTGAAAGTGATGAAACATTCATACCTTCATACTCTTTCACAGTTCCAATATTTCCTCCTAAGTCCCTTGGTAGTTTGTCTTTACCGATTATCAATGCTAATTCTTTGATGCCGAGCTGACAGAATAGAACCTACAAAAAAATAAATAAATACAAAATAATAATAATAATTCAAATAATTATTATGAGTACTTTCTTTGTTCAGATTTCTATATTGTCTATATCAAATTATCCGGAAAGGGTGGGAGTTTAAAGGTAGTAAGATAATTTTTTAAANTTAATTTTATTTATTTTGTGTGGTGATTTGTGACCGATAATCGATAATTATTCAGAAATCGTGAGATGCGGTCTGGTGTGACGTAGGTTTCAGAAAAACATTTTCTTTATCGTGCCAACGTTTCGATCTTTATTGAGATGATCTTTAGGGCCTGGGATTTACAAACAAAAATTTTTCTGAAACCTACATCACACCAGACCGTATCTCACGATTTCTGAATATTTATTTATTTTTATAATCGGGTTGTTTCACATGAAATGCCCGTGTTTGTTGTTTAGTAAAAAACTTTATTAGGGTCAAAATAATAGTATACAAAGTTCCTTCTTTTCATATACATTTTTCCCAATGTTAAACCTTAAATAGATGAAACATCTGTTGGTTGCAGGTTTGGAGAATAAGATGGGGAATAACGTCCTTCATGTATTAATTTATTCAGTCTCCCTTGAAACACCAGGCTTGGCGTTATCTTGTAGGAAGAACCCACCCGATTTACCAATACAAGTTGTTTTTTGCTATGTTTTGGTCAGTTGGGTGTATTTGGTCAATTTCAATCCACTATTTGGTACAGGTGATGGTTTCACCTCTAACAAAAAGAAAGAGTGAATAACTCTATCTCTCATTTAAATTTAAATATAGCATGTGTCCTAGCATTTCTTCGACGTAAATTGAATTATGCAACCATTTGTAATCGTAAGTTATTATCTTTTAGAAAAGACGCGGTTTTTTGCCTAACAAGCAACGAAACTCATGCTGGTGCTTCAACTGCGGCTGCTCAGTGAACTTATGAGGAACCCCATAAAAGGAGCTTTTTGGCTTTTCCTATGTACTTTAAGTGTTTTGAAGCTGTGGGTGCACTTACTGAGAGTCCTCTAACGGTATGATAAGTGTTTTCTTCCACTGTAAGCTCGAAGAGCAGGCAATCCTCAAGGCCGGTTTTCAAATTTGGTATCTCCAGCCAAAAACTTCGCAAATCAAGGCAATCCGTTCCTTAACACTTTAAATCTAAACGACGTTAAAACTTTTTAAATGTTCATTACAGCTTGGACGAGCTTAACTTGATAAAAGAATGTAGGACGAAAATCTCGTTTCTCTGTGTTCATACCAGGCAACCAAAAATGTTCGTGCAGATTTAAACGATTTATAATTATCACAATTAAAATTAGTTTATATACATTTTATTCAGGGAAATAGTCTCCATAGACATCTATTCTCCCAACTCGTAACAGCAGAGGTCATATCAACTCTCGGGGTGCCGGTGTTTTGAAGAAAGCCCATTTGTAATTATGTCGGGGGACCTTTGCTTTACAGTCAACGCACCGACGCTCCCCAAACGTGTTACTAGCCATGTTGTGCCCTTCTTATAAAAGTTTGCGTCTCATGGCTTAAAAAATAAAATCAGCACATTTCCAGTTATTTCGCGATTATCGAACTCCCGACTGCCCAGTGTCCATTGTTACGAAAAGGTGAAATTCATATGAGGAAAGGTCTGAAGAGTATGGAGGGTTGGTAGGACTTCCAAACCAAACTTCATTATTACCTCTTTTCTCGTTCTGGCTGTATTAGCTATCGCATTGTCATGGAAAAATGACCTTTTCTGTTCACGAAAGTAAGTTGGTATGACACGTGGCAGGAGATAGAGCACAATGCCTGCAGGATTCCACAAAACCTAAAGCATCAAGTTTCTTGGTGATTATTCGGTTTTCCCCTCAGGGGCATTTAGTGACCGCCTCTTGGTGTTACTATACAGAATCTATTTTTCGTCGCTGTTTGTTGTGTTTACCATGTCGAAAAACTTCTCTACTATATGCCGTGAATCAATGGAAGGCAAATGTAAAAGATGCTTACACTTGTTGCCGCCTGCCAATTTATGACGAACCCATTTTCTCAGCTTCCACGTTTTCCCAAGTCAATGTTAGCTAGAACAAATGGTTTCATCGATTACGTTGAATTCTCTGGCAAGCTCCTGACATATAACTCGAACAAGTTCGACAGCTTCCATCAATCCGTCGTCATTCAAGACAGACGGCTTACCAGACCTCCTTGTTCCCAGAAGGAAATTTTTTGAACTACTTTTGGCAGTACGCTCACTAAAAATGTTGATTATAATGGTATTAAAACAATAACAAGTGAAAATCCGCACAAACTTTTCTGGTTACCTGGAATTTGAAAGTATACTAAAGAGTATGTGATTAATTAGTGAGATAATCAATATAAACAAAAAATAGACGAGTAATAACTACGCATATAATATGTAAACATGTTGGTAGTTAACGTAATAGTTAAGGAAACCGATTAATCTTCTACGAATTTATATAATATTAAAAACGGATATTCTATGTGAAACACCCCCAATAATAAAAAGGCGATATTATGGGGGTCTGGTGAATTTTGACCTTAAATGTTTCTCAGTTTTAAAATTTTATTTAAATTAACCCTTTATGAACTTTGTATAGAAATGAAAACTTTTTACTTTATTCATGAAGCCGTTCTCAAATAGTGGCTCCAAGTACTCAAGAAACTGGAAGAGTTTAAATTCCTTTCGAGAAAACATAAGTATTTGCTTTATATTCAAAAGTGATCCCTCCTTTAACCAAAAAAAAAAAAAAAAAAAAAAAAAAAAAAAAAAAAAAAAATCAACAATGTTTTAGTAATAATTTTTTCAAAGCTCACCTGTATGTAATTCAACATATTTTGATATTCAACAATTTTGAGTATTCCAAAGTACTCGTTTTTTACATGAGAAAAATCGAAAAGAATTATATGCCCTGGAATCAATCCCGTACTGATTGGAAGCGCTTCCATGGCTAATGCAATGTATCGGCAACATGGTAAAATTGCTGTACTCAATTTTTCGAATTTTTCAAAACGGACGTAAATCATTTGATAGCCATCTTTTGTAGTTATAGGCAATGGCGCTATAGTTCTTAACACAAAAATAACAAAATATAATTCAATAGGGTTTTTAATTTACAGAATATGAACTCACAACATGGTACGTGCTATTCCCAAATCTGTGTCATCGTTGCAACCGCGTTTTGCGAATATTTCCGGATATAATTGCTTAAAACTGAAGTGTTTGCTCATTAAAATTGCTGTCTTGAGTGGGCATAGTTTAACATTTATAAACTCAGCAATCTGATGATCTAGAATTTCATAGAGCATGGATATCACAACAATATAATAATATTTAATTATTTATTAATATAGACTATTTAAGAAGAAGAAGAAGAAGAGAAATATCTTTTTTCTGGGACTGGTATTCCATAAGAATAATACACGTGAAATAAATAAAGGCAATAAATAAAGTTCCTTCTAGGAAATTAAAAATAAAATGAAATAAAAATCTTGGCACAACGTATACAAGTAAGGCAAGCCATAAGAAAAAATAACAAGAATATTAAACAAGAATATCAAATATGAACGTAAGGTCTCTGTTTGGAGGGAGAAGAGGATTTAAAATAGTAAAAGGAAGCAGCGTGGCGAATTGAAAGGAGAAGGCTCGGATCAGAAAGGATCTTTCAAAGGTATGGGTTATATGTTGCGGAAAGATAGGGTCAATTGGTGATGAGCGGGTGTTACGAGTATGATGTGAGGAGTTGGGAGGAAGGATTGGGTGATGTAAGGAGGAGACGGATGTGGTTGGACTGGAAAAGAAAGCAACCTAGGAAATACTGTGCACGGAAGGAGGGGTAGAGCCATGAAAGTTGGGAATAGAACTCCGACACCCGGGACCCTCATGGGGTGCCGAACTTATCTTATGCAACAAATCATAATACGCTTCAATAGCGCGTTCCCACCTCCGAGAGACCACCGTATGCCACACAGCTGTAATCGAAGAAGGGAAGTGTAAGGGAAGATACAAGAAGTTTGCGGGTGGGGAAAGGTAAAAGAAGCCAGTACCGACGAAATAGGCTGAGGGAGGTGATACAATGGCGGGAAATTTGGGAGCTGTGAGGATGCCAGAAAAGGTTTTGGTCAAAGACTGCAGCTAGGATTTTAACCGAGAAGCAGAAAGGGATGGGATGGTTATTTAACGTGGGAGGTGAGATGCTGGGGAGGGTATTGAGGAGTTGCCTGGACCCAGTAATTATGGCCGGACGGATTGAGGACTAGGGAATTTTTATGTGCCCATTCAGTGATAGAATTTTGGTCTTTTTGGATTTTGAGAATGGCCGAGTGAAAATCGGAAGGGTGGAAAGATGTATATTTGGAGTTATCGGCGTATAGGTGGTAGTTACAGAACTGGATGGAGTCGGGCAGGTCGTTAATATAAATGGAAAAAAGGATAGGAGAGATGCTAGAGCCTTGGGGCACCCCAGATTTTAATGGGAGGAAGGAGGAGGTAAGGCCATTGGGAAGTGAGACAGCTTGATGGCGATTGGTAAGGTAGAAATTGTATCTAACCATAATCTCTACTCAGACCCGCGAAAGTAGAAATAAGTAACACAAAGCAGGTCAAACTTAAAAAGCCAAAACCGCATTGTACATTTCCTTCTTCAAGAAAATGAAAAATCTAACATATACACATTCTTCAACTTTCTTGTGATTCTTTCCATAAGTTTTCTCCTTTGATTCACTGGAAAGGGTTAGACTAAACACTAGCTACGTCTGAATCATACAATCTGTCTACCAGGATGGTCAACCTCGTACGATCCTAGATGAGATAGGGTCTTATTTTAAATAATCGATAAGAACGACATACCTCGGAAGAAATATTGTTCTCTTTGTTACATATTCTAAAAACGGCTTGGACAAAAACACGAATCGAAGAGGGAGATTGGTCGATACTCAACTCTAAGCCTCACGTGATATACAAGCATAAAATGGGTGAGACTGAGAAACAAGTTCAAAAAACGATGGCATGAGTAAGGAGCTGGCAAAATAGCTAGAATCAAGGATGACAGACAGGCGTAAGTAATAACTTCGTGTATATCATACTAGAAGAAGAGAAGATACGTCCAAAACCACGCAACGAAGCATAAATGGGGTGAGACTGAGAAACAAGCTCAACATTGGTGGCATGAGTAAGGGCTGGGAATCAATAGGCTGGCTATAACTAGCTTCAAGGATGAAAGATGAACGAAAAGGATAACTTATACAATATTGGAGAAATTCCAGAGCCATCCAAAACGTCACAACGAAGCATAAAAATGGTGAGACGGAGATAAGCTAGATTCAAGGATAGTAGATGAACGAAGGTAAATAACATCGAGCACATAGTAGATGAAGATAAGAAGACGTTCAAAAACAGCGCAACGAAGAATAAAATGGGTGAGACAAGAAAAACAAGCTATAGAATGGCAACATAGGCAAGAAGCTGAGAATTAAGTCTGGCCATATAGCTAGAATCAAGGATGAAAAGTCACCATGAAGCATAAAATGTGTGAGGCTGATAGACAGGCTCAAGATTGGTTGCAAAAGTAAGGAGCTGGGAATTACCGGTGGTGAATACTTTGATTCAAAAATGACAAAGAACGAAAATACTAATATCGTGGACATCATACTGCAGGAAGAGAAGGCACGTCCAAAACGTCGCAAAAAGCATCAAAGGGATGAGACCTGGAATAACTTGGGACAGGCTACACTCGAACGTTGGTCGTAAATTAATGAATAAAAAGATAATAAAAAGGGGGAAAATCTAAATTATATATCGGTGGAATAATGTAAACTCAAAGCCATTATACTATTAATTAATTTATTAGATCTGTTTTAATGGCATATAGGAGGTGGATTCTTACAGTAATGTGTGATTTTTAGTGACCGGTTGTTCCATAATTAGTTGAAGTCGTGAGGAACGGTCTTGACCACGGCCACGACTTCAACAAACTATCTTACTGTAATATACATATAATCTTAGAAATTTACAATATGTAATCTTACAAGTATTTAATTATAACAGACATTTCTATATTGTGAGAATAGTAGTTTTACAATAAATTACAGTGACTGTTTAGAGATCGTGGGATGCGGTAAGGTGTGCAACAAAAAAACATTAATATTTCACTAATACTCTCAACACGATCCACAACCGTGACACATCTACGCAGAAAACACCTTTGAGTAGTAGAGTACAAATACTTTGATTAAACCTAAAATTTCTATATTGTGCTCATCATTGTATACATACTTATTCAGATATCATGAGATGCAGTCTGGTGTGATGTAGGTTTCAGAAAAACATTTTCTTTATCGTGCCAACGTTTCGATCTTTTATTGAGATCATTTTCAGGGCCTGGGATTTACAAACAATGTTTACATTTAAAAAATACATTTAGGATGTGGAAAAGTGAATTTATACAATGCAAAATATATTTTATATTCAAACAAATAATTATTACGAATAATTATTGCTCAACGGTCACTAATCTCTACACATTGTATACATACATTTTCGCATCTTACATGTATTTGTATAATTTAAAATGTTTATAAATCCCAGGGCCCGAAGATGATCTCAATAAAGATCGAAACGTTATCGTGATAAAGAAAATATTTTTCAAAACCTACCATCACACCAGACCGCATCTCACGATTCAAAATAATCATTAATTAACGGTCACTAAATACTACACATAAATTACAATATTAACAATAATTGGTGTATTGATAGCCAAAATATTTATTGTAGTAATGTTAATAAAAGGTAGTAATTAAAGGTAATCATTGTAATAACAACCTTTAATAGTAATTAATAATGATTGTTGAGATAAATTTAGCGGAATGGACTAAATTAATGAATAATCGCACTGGCTAATGGTAATGGAAATACACATAAAATTACAATATTAATATTCTATGAAGATTTAAGTGGCAAGGTAATCATAACTAAATACACATTAGTCTTTTATACTTTCTATACAATAATGTGTTGTGATTGCAGTCGATAAATTAATATTATATTTTCCTAATTCATTGGTTTTCCAATAGCAGAGTTATTCTATTTCCTAATTTGTGAAAGTCGTGAGGAGCGGTCAGAAATGATGTATTTCAGAAAAACAGCTTTTTTTCATTCGTTTGCCGACTTGAAAATGGAAAAGGCTTCCAAAATACATTATCTTTGACCACTCCTCTCGATTTCAACAAATTATCGAACAGCCGGTCACTAAAAAAAACACATTTATGTATCTTAAGTTAAGAGGTTTAGAACAGTATTTAAAGATTCGGTTTAGCAGTTCAAAAGTCCGTATATGTAACAAATAGTACATATTTAGGGTCGGGACGTCAAGACGGATCGTAAAGTGCTAAACATAGGGCATTCAAATAGGAAATGAATTAATGAACCATATTGCAGGCCAAAACATGTAATGCATTTTATGTCAGTATTGAATTGATATTTTTTCTATTAAAGTACAAAAATGGTTGCTTACAACTGGCCAATCTTAATTGACAGATAAGACGAGGTTTTTATGTTATTTTTTAGTCTAGAAGATTCGACGGAGTTTCCTCAATTATTTATTGATGTATAATATAATTGTACTTTGAGTTCAATAATGCTCTAATGTCAGCAGATACACTATGGTTTTCAAATCTTTTGAGGAATACAATCTAAGATAACAAACTTTTTTCAAGGAGCCTTCAAGTGGGAACAATAGATTTAGCCAAAAATTCAGAGCTCTTTTGTACTCTTTATTTCTCAGTTAAGGGCACTCTGTTTCTAATCTGAAAAGAAAAAACTAGCTCAGAGTATTTCGCAAGAGGTGTAATAAGTGCTTAAGAATTTGCACTTTAAGAATTGCACTCTTGGGACACTTTGGGAATCGAAGCACAGCTTTTCGCGACAAAATAAAAAGTAGCTATAACTCAATAAAAAAGTGATTTTACTTTTCTTTAGATAATAATGATTATAAAGGAATTAAGATTGTAAACAAGTAACAGGGTATAAATCTAAACACATCTGGTACCTAGGAGGAGAGTAGGTTGAATTCTACAATAAATATTTTCTCTTACGAACAAATGTAAACAAAACTGATCGGATTAAACTAAAGAAGGCACACATAGTCAAGTGATTACAGGTGAAAATGAATTTTCAATTCCTTTACTTAAAAAATATTAAAAAATTAATTAAGTTTTGTTTCTGCCAGTTGGCTTTGTTAGCATTGATAGAGCGTGAAGGACTGTGCAATACAGTTTATTTATTTGTCCA